TCCCAAAAAAACTCTGACTCAGGAATCGCAGAGCCCAAAGGCTTATGCTCCATTGCTTGAGCCCAGGGACCTGCCCGGGGTCGCACAGCCAGGGACAGACAGAAGCCCAGCAGGAACGAGGAGTCTGAGGTCCCTTTAACCACCGGCAGCTTGTGGGGGACACTTGCGGGCAGGTGCCTGCCTCTCCCCATCCCCATCCCCACACAGAAGCTCGCAGCCCCACACAGTTAGGCAGCCTGGGCATCCGTGGCCGGGCCGAGGAGGAGGCACTGCCCTGAGGGACGGGGCATCCCCAGGAGGATCTCGGAGGACGCAGCCTTGCCCTGTCATCGCCCTGATCCGGTCAGTGCTTCTCCACTGGGGAAGTGAGGGGCAGGAGCCAGCGAGGCTGACCGCTGACCCCCCGCCCCAGGCATCAGCCGCCCAGCTGAGGTGGCCAGAGGCGTTCCCACTCACTGGGCACCCCTCCTGCCACACCAGTTTCCCACGCCTCCTCTGGGCGAGGGGACATCCCCCTCACAGAGGTGGCAGCTCCCCGGTGAGCCAGCCTGTCCGAGGACACCAGCCAGGCCAGGCAGGGCTAGAGCAGCAACGAGGGGCCTGCCTGGCCTGGCGTGGCCTGGGGGCTCTGCTGGCTGGGGGCTCAGTGTGCTGTCTAGAAAAGGCATTTCTAAGGAACACGGAGAAGGTGCCCTCCCAGGGGCCTGGCCCTCCTGTCCCTGTAGAGCACATCTGCATCTCCCTGACGGGACAGACGAGAGAAACCCAGAGGTCCCTGCATTGAGTCCCCAGGGGCGTCGCACCCCTCAGGAGCCTCCGCCCAGGGAACTGGAAATCTCCCAGCAGCCCCCTCCTCAATACCACCGCCTCCTGACCCTCCCCACCCCTTCCACCAGACCCTGGAAGTGTGGCGGGAGATCAGGGATGAGGGCGGAGCAAAGGCCCCTTATCCTCCAGCTTCAGGCCCCACATCCACTCAGGGGCTCCAGCTCCGGACGCCGAGTCAGGAGGACACGGCAGCTGCACGGGGCAGAGGTCGAAGGTCAAAGCAGCTGCCAGGAGGCCCAGCCAAACGAGGCCTCTGGGTGGATAGCAGCCCCCGGACCCCCCTGAGGGCAGGGGCGAGCAGGCCCGTTACCCTGTTGGGGGCTGGGCCTCCCGCAGCCTCCTCCTAACCTCGTCCTGGCAAAGCAGCTGGGGAGAGGGACAGAGGGACCGGCACGGTCTGGCCTGGGCGGGGAGGCTGGCCGGGGGAGCGGGCTGAGGCGCTGAGCACTAATGGGTTATGTCAGGCGAGTGCTCTGGGGAGGGGGCCGCGCCTCTCGGCTCTGGCAGCCCCACCTGGGGCCCGCGCCCAAGAGCCGGAGCCTGGACAGAGATGCTGGCGTGGGTCTGAGTGCAGGATGAGGGCTTGGAGAGGGGCTGCTGGGCCCGAGCGAAGAGCCTCGTCTAGCCCTGATGGCCAGGAAAGCGAGGGAGGATGATCCCCCACCCCGTCAGGCCCCTGTGGGGTGGAAAACACAGAGACCCCCTCCATGGACCGGGGTCCCCAGGAGAGAGGCTGCAGGTCCTGTCAAAGCATCCATGTGGCTTGGCTTGGTGGGGAGCAGAGTCCTGGGGTCCATCCCTAAGCTTCAGGAGGGCCCTCTCATGCCCCCCACTTTCACTCCTGCCCAGAGCCCCACCCAGGGCTCCATCCCAGGTCAAGGACTCTGGCTCCTCACCCCGCACTCTCGCTGCTCGGCCCGGGGTTTGCCCAGCAGCCCCCATCCTGCAAGCTGCACAGTGAGAGCCCCTCACACGCCTCCGCTCTGGGGTCGGGAGGGTCAGGAGTGGGGGTTGGAGGCGGGAGATGGAAAGGAGCCCCTCTCTCAGGGCTGTGGGCTCAGGGCTTGAATGGGAGCTCACACGTGCAGACTGGGGGCTCAGTGCAAAGGGAGGTCAGCGAAAGGCCAGGGACGGAGCCTGGGACTGAGGAGGGGGCCCCTCGCAGTCACCGCAGGGCGGCCAGGGCCCTGTGTGTCTTGGCCCAGCAGGACCCCTAGGCCGCCAGGTATGTAACAATTCCAGCCATTTCCTGCCCTATTAATGAGAAAGGGGCTGATATAAATACACGCTCAGCATAAATAAATACAGGCCAGGCCCCGGCTGCATAGCAGACAGATTGCGTGGAGCTGCTGGCCAGCCCTCCAGCCAGTTCCCCCCCACCCTGCCCCCGTCCCCTCACCTCCCCGCCGCCGTCCAGGGCCCCTTCACACTCAAAGGCCTGAGACAGACAGGCTGACCGCCCTCACCTTTGACCTCAGAGCGGGGTCCCTGTAGCCCCTGGGGAGGCTGCAGGCCCAGGAGAGGGGGCGGGGCTCCCCGGGCTCCCAGGCCTGGAGCAGGTGCTGCTGGGGCACAGACGAGGCAGCAGCCCAGGAGGCCCAGGTGCCGTGCTGGTGCCTGTTCACAGGTGCGGGCACTGAGGCTCACGGAGGTAAGGAGCCAGCCCACGGTCACACAGCCAGAAGGTTGTGGGTCCAGGATTCAAAGCCTGAGGCTTTCTGATCCCGAGGCCTCTGATCTGCCCACTGTGTGCAAGGGGCAGAGTCTCTCCCCTTCCTTCCTCCCCAGCCCCAGCCCCAGGACTCCAGGGTCCTCTGGGCCTGGACGCATATGTTTTATGGAACCAGAGCTCAGCTCCTATAAGGGCCCTGCCCACAGATCTGCACACGCAGGCCTGGCGCCTCCCCAGCCCCAGACCAACTCCTAGCCAGGGCGCTCAGGACATTGAGGTCTCTCAAATGCTGACTGTCTCATCAGAGGTCACCTGGTCAACCCACACTGCCCAGACGTGGAAACTGAGGGCCAGCGGGGTCGGAGCCTTATCTAAGGTCACAGAGACAGGGCAGAGCCACAGAGCCCAAGTCTCCTCCGGCCTCTGGCTCAGCGTGGGGAGGGCCGCATCCTGACACCAGCCTCTCCTGCTCAGGGCTGCCCCAGCTCTCCAGCCTGCACACTGCTCGGGGCAGACTCAGGCGTCAGCCTGTGCCCCAGAACCCAGCCTGGAAAGACATGCAGGACACAGTGGACATTGTTTTCTTCAAGCTGAGAACCAGAGAATAAGGAAACATTTTTACCTTAATGTCTCTGTATCTTTGGTTGTTGCTTATTTTAATTCAGTAGAAGTAAAAGATAGCAGTATCACATGCACGGCCCAGAACCTCCCGGCTGGTCCTGGCCTTCAGCCCAACCTCCAGCTCATCTTGCCTCCAGTCCTCTCTTCCCATGCACCCCCCTTCCCCCTTTGAGGCCTTTCTCCACCTGCCCCTCTCTCCCTCCCTCCCTCAGGCCCTGCAGGCCCCAGGTTGTCAAGCACCAGCTTGGTCCCTGGCAGTGCAAGGCCCTCCAGCTCCCCATGCTGCACTGGGGCGTTCCCCACCCCCAGGCGCACACTCCTGCACCCAGCGTGCCCAGTAAGCTGGGGGTGTGTCCTGGAATCCCGGTGTGTCCGCTCCTTCCCCAGACCGTACAGAGCCCTCCCAGCAGGTGCTCTGCCTCACTGGCCAGACCGGAGGCCTTTGCAGGGCTCCCCACAAGGACAGGCTGGGACTGCTCCTCGGACTTGGAGGAAGGGCCTGGAAATTCACTGCACACCCACCCTGGGCCACCTGCAGGTCCCTATGGGAGACAGGGCAGAAACCCGGCCCTAACTTCCCTGGGAGCCAGAATGGAGACGGAGGCCGGGACCGGTTTGGCTCAATGGATAGAGCGTCGGCTTGGGGACTGAAGGGTCCCGGGTTCGATTCCGGTCAAGGGCATGTGCTTGGTTGCGGGCATGTTCCCGGTGGGGGGTGTGCAAGAGGCAGCTGATCGATGACTCTCTCTCATCGATGTTTCTAACTCTCTATCGCTCTCCCTTCCTCTCTGTATAAAATCAATAAAATGTATTTAAAAAAAAAAAAAAAGAATGGAGACGGAGAAGCAAGGCAGAGCTCTTTGGAGCATCCTCCCGTCCTCACACCACCCTCAGGCTTGGGAGGGAGCGGAGGTTGATTGCTAACTCTCAAGAAATCATCCCTTCCCCCCACTTTACCATATCACTCACCTCAGTGGTGTCGGGGGATTTGACCCACTGCAGCCTGAACTCTCCTAGCTGTATGAGCCCTCCCTCAGCAAGACTGGGCAGCTAGGGGTGAGTGCTGAGAAAATGATGTTTCCCTCTTTCAGGAGGGAATGGACATATGAATCTGTGAATGGATTTGTGAGTATGCGGATGGGTAGACAGGCTGAAGGATGGATGGATGGATGGATGGATGGATGGATGGATGGATGGATCTGTTGATGGATTTGTGGGTAAGGAGGTGAATGAATGGGTAGACAGGAGAGTAGATAAGCTGAGGATGGAAGGATGAAGCGTTGAGTGGGTGGGCGGGTGGGTGGACATTTGGATGGATGGGTGAGTGAGAATTAAGTGGCTAAGTGTGTAAATGAATGGGTGGGTTAGCTACAGACTGACTCAGGAATAACTACTCCTCAAAGGAATTTTCTAAATCTCTGAAATGTGAGGCCCTGGCACCCCCCAAAGGCCAGAGTCTCTAACTACCCCTCTCCTCTAACACACCAGATACCATGGGACGGGGCCTGGAGAAAGTGAGGGCTTCTGGGAAACAAACATCTGGGGTCCAGTGCTGGCTTTTCCCCTGATTCACTCTGGGCCCTTGGGATTGTGCCACCTTCTGAGGCTCGATTTTCCTTATCTGGAAAAGGGTGCTGATCAAACCTGATGCCTGTATCACTATGAGATCTAAACAAAATCACGCGTGTAAAGTGTCTGAGATGGTTATCTGGCATGTATCGGGTGATCAAGGAACATGATTTCCTTCCCAGAGGCAGCCCTCGGGCACGCATGCAGGCACCCATACGCATACATACACATGCGCACGCACACATATGTGCACACACATCCCTCCAGCCCCATGAGGCCCTAGATCAGACAAGACCAGGAGAGGCAGATGAAGACACGTTTATTCACCAACGGTCTCGCGTTCTGGCAGGACTGGCCCGGCCTTGAGAACCAGAGACTCAAAGAACGGGGACTCAAACAGAGACTGGGCTTCCTGGGGCTCGGCCTCCTGGGCCTGGGCCAGCTGGGCCGTGTGCTCAAAGGCGGCCTGCAGCAGGTGGGAAGCCAGGCAGGTGGACCAGGTGACCAGATAGGCCAGGCGCCAGGCGGTAGCCTCGATCGTGCTCTCCACACACCCGTACAGACGCTTCGTCAGCGCCAGCAGCCCCAGGACAACCTGGTTCTCCAACAGAGCCTGGAGGGACGGAGAGGATGGGCAGGGGGCCACCACACGCTCACAGGACCGCACTGCCCGACGGCTAGCCCGCTAGCCCAGCCCCGGTCATGCCCAGCCCCCCAGGCCTGCCCCCGGCAGCCTGCCCTGTGCCCTGCCACCCACCTTGCCGGGCAGCCAGCCCAGACTGCAGCAGTGGGCCTTCCACAGCAGCCGGCAGGAGAGCAGCAGCAGCAGCAAGGCGGCCAGCATGAGGCTGTGCAGACACGACAGAAGCAGGTCCACCCAGGTGGCCGCGGAGAGACCCAGCTGCTCCCAGGCACCCGGCTGCTTCGGGTCCAGGCCCAGGGCCCGGGCACAGCCCAGCATTCCCGCCCACACGAGCCTGGGCACCCTCAGCGCCAGCCACACAGGGACCTCCAACAGCGCCCGCCCGGCCCGCAGGACCGAGCCCACCGGGCAGGCGGGGAGCCCGGGCTGTGGGTGGGCTGGCCGGCTGCAGGAGCCCTGGGCCTGCTGGAGCAGCCCGGACAGCCAGTGGTTGAAGAGGATGATCTTGAGGAGCAGAACGTTGTAGAGGTGGACCCGGTTCTGGACCAGCTGCGGGGAAAGGGGAGACCGTGGTCAGCCATCGCCACTCTGTGGGGGCAGGAGCCCTCCCTGAGTGTTATTGTGGGGGTTGGGGCTGCCAGGTCACCTTAAGCCAGGACCCCTTCCTCTCGAGGCCTCAGATACCCCACATATAAGAATGGTCTTTGCCGCCGAAACCGGTTTGGCTCAGTGGATAGAGCATCAGCCTGTGGACTGAAGGGTCCCGGGTTTGATTCCGGTCAAGGGCATGTACCTTGGTTGTGGGCACATCCCCAGTAGGGGGTGTGCAGGAGGCAGCTGATCAATGGTTCTCTCTCATTGATGTTTCTAACTCTCTATCCCTCTCTCTTACTCTCTGTAAAAAATCAGTATATATATTTAAAAAAAAAAAAAAAAAAAAAAAAAAAGAATGGTCTTTATCTGTTCACTTCTAAGGAGTCCATTCTCTTAGAAAGTGTCTCCTCTTACATGCGGTTCTCTCTCTTGTGGGTTTAAATAATTATTTCTAAAACTTCAGACTGAAGGAGATTGACGATGATGATAATGTCGATGACATAGGAGTGACCATTCCCCTCAGCCCTCTAATCCTGTAGGATCTGAATCTGTTGCTTCTCGGTGCCATGAGCACAGCTGGTAGCAAAGGGCAGTGTCTTTCGGGGCAGAGAGTGTGAGGCGTGGGGGACAGGGACGGAAGGAATGACTGACCCGCTGAGAGGGGTGAAGGAGAGGGAGGAAGCTAGGGTGATGTCCATATTTCTGTCCTGGGGGACAGGGTGGACATGATGTCTCCCTCCATTGGGAGGCAGTGAGGTTGGATGGGGAAAGAGCTCTGAAGCCCCCAGTCCCTGAGTAACACCAGCCCACCAACCTGGACCCCGTGTGTCCTTGTCCACAGGACCATCTGGAGCCCTAAGTGGTGGGGTGAGAGGGAGCAATCTGGGGTTGACGGTATGCCCTCCCATGTTGGGGGCCGGCAGAGCCGAGGGGATGGAGCTGTGCTGAGAAAGGAAGGGAACACATGGGTCCACCTACAGAAGGAATTAGGATGGGGCAGGAAATAGCATCTGCCCCCACCCCCGCCCCCACCAGCTGATAGTGCTGAAACCAGGGAGGGGAGCAGCCTCCTAGATCCCACATGACCTATAAGGTCCCTTAAAGCAGAGAAAGTGGAGGCTCAGAGAGGTAGAATAATTTGCCCAAAGTCACACAGCTGAAGAGCAGAGTAGCCAAGATTCAAAGCCAACTGCCCTCTCCTCCTGCTACACCACGTCCTCAGCAGCCCCCACAGGGACCCTCTTCTCATAACTCAGCCCCCGGAGCAGCTGGAGCTCAGAGACGTGGGCCCAGGCATCAGCATCTGCATGTCTTCAAACGATGAAAGGGGCCTGGCTGGCGGGGGTCAGTGGGTAAGCTGAGGTCACAGCTCAATTCCCGGTCAGAGCACATGCCCTGAGTGTGGGCTCCATCCCCAGAGTGGGCCATGCGGGAGGCAGCGGATCAGTGGTTCTCATCATGGACGTTTCTCTCTCTCTCTTTCCCTCTCCCTTCCTCTCTGTAAGAAATCAATAAAGCCGAAACCGGTTGGCTCAGTGGATAGAGCATTGGCCTGCGGACTGAAGGGTCCTGGGTTTGATTCTGGTCGGGGGCATGTACCTTGGTTGAGGGTACATCCCCAGTGAGGGGAGTGCAGGAGGCAGCTTATTGATGACTCTCTCTCATCGATGTTTCTAACTCTCTACTCTGTATCTCTCTCCCTTCCTCTCCGTAAAAAAATCAATAAAATATATATTTTTTCAATCAATAAAATGTTTAAAAAATAAAATAAATATATATTATATATATAATATATAAATTTAGCTGGATGGGAAAGGCAATGCTTGTCCCACAGGAGTAATTCTCTAGAGCAGTGTTTCCCAAAGTGTGGTGCGTACCCCAGGGGTATGGGAAGAGTTTGGTGGGGGTACGCGTTGCACCGTGCTTAGCTGCGCCTAATACATCCTTTTTTTTTTTTTGACGAGGGGTACTCAGCGTTACGAAAATTATAGAAGGGGTACACACATGTCACAAGTTTGGGAAACACTGCTCCAGAGGAAATGCCGGCCCTGTGCTCTGGGGCGGGCTCCTAGGAGCTGTCAGATTATCCAGGAGGCAGGCAGTCACCCAGCCCCCCTGCTCAGCAGCTCCCAGGGAGCTTTGACCCAAGCCCTCCCCCCTCTACCCCCGACCCCACTGACCAGCACAGACAGCTTCACCAGCAGCAGCAGAATCCCCATCAGGCTGGGTCTGGAAGGAGGGACAGCTTCCGCGTCCAGCCTCCTGCGCCTCCTCCAGCTGGGAGAGGCAGGTGACCTCACAGACACCAGAGGGCAGGGCCAGGTTACCATGGGGACCCCGCTGCCACAAGAGAATCACCTGCTTCCCTCCCCTTCCCTGCACCAAAACTGGGGTGTTTGTCTGCCTCGTCCTGTCCACCTCCCATTGGAGACTGCTCCCAGGGACATCAGCTCCCCAGACGGAGGGCTCAGGGCCTGCAGCAGGCAGCGGAGCAGACAGAGGGGCGGACAGAAACAGGTGTGCCTCCCCACATTCTTCCAACTTCCCACCTATCCAAGGCCGGGAAATAAAAACCTGTACCTCAGGGCCGTGGTGACAGGACGCTGAGAGGCAGAGGGGACTGAGCATGCTCAGCTGCCCAAACCCCCACACCCATTCATTCCTGCATTTTACTGAAGGTTGGTCCCCAGTCACAACGCAGGGGGTGAGGTTGTGACCTTTATCCTCGGATCTCAGGGACACTTCAGCGGTGTGACAGAACAGAAAGGCTTCGTCTGCCGCGCTAGCAGAACCGCACACGGAACAGGACACTGAACATGGAGAACTGCCGTGGAGAAATAGCGGCTCTTTTTTATTATGAATGGAGACACCCCGGAAAACGGGACTCTGATGCTCACAGGGTGACCTTCCCCGTGGCATGCAGGTCACATACGGGCAAGCATCAGACCCCGGGGGTGAGGGGCGAGGGGCCCTGCTGGGAGCTGATTGGTTAGACGTGAGTGAGGGGAGGTCCTAACTTATCTCTTCTGGGCACCTTGAGGGCAGCTCTCGGCCTTTCCCCGCATCCCTTTGTCTGGTTTTATGTGAAAGCAGCCAGGAGAACAGCCCACCTGAAGGCTCTGGAACTAAGACATACTAGTAACGTAGGTCAAATGTTATCTTTTGCCCGCCAGTGGTCAGAACCCTGGGACCTTTGGTTAGGTCCCGGCTACTGTACCTGCTGCCAGGGATTGTCAATTACAGGGAGGGGTGGGGGGGAGGGGGTAGTCTGGGGGAGGGGGGAAGGACAGAGAGAGAGAGAGAGAGAGAGAGAGAGAGAGAGAGAGAGAGAGAGAGAGAGGAATTCTAGAGCTGGGCTTTATAACTAGTTAATCAAAGTCCTAAGGACCCTGGGTTTCAGTGGGCTGTGAGACTAGGCAGAGGAGAGCAAGGAGGAGAAAGTGTGCCCCGGAATGTCCCGGAAAGGGACCTGTCCTGGGGAAAGAGGGCACATCTGCAGAAGGAGCCCCCTCGGGGCCCGCAAGTGGCAGCAGGAGGCCACACGCCCGCCACCAGAATGCTGGAGAAACTGCTGGAGCCATTCATCAGAACACTTAGGAGTCCGGGGACTCCGGAGCCTGGGGCACAGCTCTCTCACATGGCTCTCCCCAGCAGCGGCCCCAGGGCTGGGGGATGAGGCTCTCCCCTCTTTCAGAAATGTTTCCAGGCGCCATCCCTGGGCACAGGCCGCCAGCAGCGCCGGGCCCTGTGGGGAGAGGGCCCCTCCGCGCAGACCGGAAGGATGAGAGCCACCGGCCCCTGCACACAGCACCATTTCCGTCCTCTCCATTCCCTGGGCCTGGCCCCCTGGCACCTACCCCACTGTCCGGACAGCCTGCCAGCATGCGTCCCTGGAATGTCAGCGAGGACCTTTGTCCCGGGCAGCCCTGTGACCTTTTCCCAGGGCAGGAGCTGGGGCCTGGAAGGTGGAGGATCCAAAGTCCCTCCATTCTGTCCTCGGCCTTTGAGCCCCTCCCCCACCCGCTCTGACTCCAACGCTGTGGCCCTGGGAAGTCACGAGGGCTTCGGAGAGGCCGGGAGCGAGGCTCTGAAGGATGGGTAGGAGTTGTGCAGAGAAGGGTGTGTGAAGGGCGGTCCGAGCAGAGGGCGCAGCTTGATTTAAACGGTCCAGCGTTACCAGAGCAAAAAGTGGGATGCTGAGAGGAGCACAGAGTAGGTGGTGAGGTCAGCAAGAGCCACATGGGTCCAGGAATATCCTATTAAATGACAGGAGCCGTTCAAGAGGTGAAGCCTCAAGGCCACTGGAGAGCACTGTGGGCTTCCCAACAGCCCCTCTGGCTGCCTGTGGAGGCTAGCCGAGGAGGGAGGAGGGAGGAGGGGTGAGGGGATTTGCTGGGAACCCACAACAATAAACCCTCCGGGCATGAGAAGCCCGGACTGGGGCTGTGGCGCTGAGAATGGAGGGAAGTGGGCAAAGGCCAGAAACGCTTGGACGGTGGAACCACAAGGATGGAAGCTGTCAAGGACGGCGAAAGGCCCGAGGCTGTACCCTGCTTGCAAACTCGCCGGTCAGCTGGCCAGAGCCTCCTGGATGCTAGGAGCAGGCACCGGACGCCTGGGTCAGAGAGGGAGGACCGTTTATCACAGCACCAGCAGTGAACTAGAGTCTAAGCATTTTGCATTGACTCTTTGAGTCCCAAATCCCGCGAGGTGACGTGATTAGAGCCAGGTGACACCTGAAGCGTATTACCGAAGAGAACCCCTGAGCTTAGGAGCCCACGTCTTTTTTAATAATGGGCAGAAGCCAAGCCTGCCCCTTGCTCCTGAGAGACACATGAGCCGCCTCACGCTGGACCATGCCTGTGCTTCACTCCAGAGGGAGACATTCTACACCCCAAGGTTGTTTGATACACAAACATTCCGGGAAAAATCATTCAGAACAAAGAGAAATCAGTTCCTTTGCAGGAGCACAAGTGGCCTATGGAAATTTTGTCTCCCAGCCAGAGGACTGAAGAGGAAGAGGGGTACATTGAGGCAGGGCTCAGGATCCCCCTCAGAGGGATCGGGCAAAGGGTGGGTGGTGCTGCTGCCCACTGAGGTGGGGCTGGGGGCGCGTCGAAGTGGGTTTGGGGAAGAGTCTGAGAGGTTGCCTGGAGTCGAATGGTGAGGACCGAAACTAAGACTTGCAACTCATTTCCCTGCCTTGCCTCTTGGGCTTGCCCCCCACCATCACCGGCATCACGTACCCAACACTTGTGCCTGCGCTGATGGTCCTCCACCTCACATTGACCAAACTGCCTGGACCGCGTGGCCCAGGCCGAAGCTGGAGTTGAAGAGACCTCATCCTGCCGCACTGCCCTCAGGGTGGGCCTCTTGGGGTATCTCCTACGTCCCATTAGGATGCCAGGGCCAAGTCTGTCTCAGCTCCACCAGCAGCTGCTGCAGAGCGCCCTCAAACTGAATTCTTCAGCAAAGAGCCCTCCACCCCCTAGGACCTAGGTTCAAGGCCACCCCTGCACTGCTGTGCTATGTGTTGCCTTGGGCAGTACCTCCCCTCCTGGCCCAGTCCTCACCTTGCAGGGTAACAGAGAGAACCAGGGGAGAGAATCCAATTATCAATGCACATTGCCTTGCACGACGTCAGGGGGCACCATTCCCCCGTCCTGTTCTGAACCCGAGAAGATTGTCCTCCCCTGCCAGGACCAATGGCGGCGAGAGTAAAGGCAAGGAACCCCGCCTCAGAAGCTTCCCACCACCAGTGTCCAAAAGCTCTCAGGGGCGCTCCCCTACAGGTGCAGGGCCACGGCGCGGCCGCAGGAGGGCAGCAGATACCAGGGTTGCGGGCCGGCACCACTGGGCGCGCAGAGCAAATGGGTGGAAAGTTTGCAGTTGCTTCTTTCGTCCTCTGGCCTGCAAGGACAAAGCGTTGTGTCAGCCCTGTAAACAACAGTGTTGCGGTGTGTTATCTCCAGGAGCTCGCCGGGCGCAGGCCCCGCCATGTCTGGGGATGAAACCAGCAAGAAAGGACCAGGACATGTGTATCTCCCTTCTCTCATGTTCTAATGTTAAAAATTCACTTTATTTCAAATATTCATCTCTCCCTCCCCCAAGTATGCAAAAATAATAAACATGCCTTCATACTTCTTAGAAATTGTATTTATTCTTTCTAAAGGTGATTTTTATCGAAACCACTTGAAATGCAAGAATAATGATTAAAAGCTTGTGAAAGCGTGAGGGACCTGTCTTGTTAGGAGACAGAAGGGTTTGAACTGACCTCTGTGTCTTAATTACAAGTCTGTGCTGCAGGCCTTCGTTTCCTTATCTGTGAAGATGGGGCAGAACCTGCCAGGAGACGTTGCAGGGAGGAGTCAGGGAAATAACAGGGTCTGGGAGTGCCTGGCCCTCAGCCATGCTTGGGGCTGGTGGGTAATGAAGTCATCATTGGTGGATGATGAAGAAGCTCAAGCCGAAACCAGTTTGGCTCAGTGGATAGAGCTTTGGCCGGCCTGCGGACTGAAAGGTTCCAGGTTTGATTCCAGTCAAGGGCATGTACCTTGCTTGCGGGCACATCCCCAATAGGGGGTGTGCAGGAGGCAGCTGATTGATGCTTCTCTCTCATTGATGTTTCTAACTATCTCTCTCCCTTCCTCTCTGTAAGAAATCAATAAAATATATATTTTTTAAAAGCACAAGATTTTTTTAAAATAGGCTGCAAGTTGGACAAAGCTACTTTAAAATATATGCAAATTTGTTTTGTTTTGTTTTTATTGATTTCAGAGAGGAAGTGATTGGGAGAGAGAAACATCAATGAGAATTACTGATTGGCTGCCTTCCACATACCCCCACTGTGTGCATAAATTTCATTAATTTATAAACCAATATGTAGAAATATTTATTTCAAACTACTGTCAGGCAATTTATTTATAGCCTGAAATTCACTTGATTTTAAATCCCCCCCAAAAAAAAAACACTGCCAAAGATGAAGGTCATTGCTGTTGTAAAATTTATTTTTAAATTTTTTAACAGAAAAATGAATGAAATGGTTTAAAAGGAGGGGGGGTGCCAAACCCCAGAATAAAAGCAATTTTTAAAGGATATAAACTTGCCAAACCACTCCATTGTTCAAGAACATTATTCAGCCCCAAAATAAACATTCGCATAAAGGTACAAAACACATAGATGCCAGCCACAGAGTGCAAAGTCACACCTGTTAGGTACAAAAATCAATAAAATACTTTTTTAAAAAAAAGAAAAGAAAAGATGCTCAACTTCACTAGCTATTAGGGAAATGTACATCAAAATTATAATATAATGACTCTTCCTGTAAGCAGCCTGAGCTGACCTCAAATGGTTCGCTATTCACCTGACCCAGAAAACCCCACAAAACCATGCAAATCAAGAGGTTCAAATCTGCTCTTGGCCGGGCAGCTCAGTTGGTTAGAGCGTTGTCCCAATATGCCAAGGCTGCAGGTTTGATCCCCAGTCAAGGCACATACAAAAAGCAACCAATGAATGCATGAATAAGTGGAACAATAAATTGATGTTTCTCTCTGCCTCTCTCTTTCTCTCTCTCTCTCTCTCTCTTTTGACCTATGTACTGGGAGGTCATGGTTAGACTCCCAGTCAGGGCAGGTGCTTG